GCATTTCAGCAAGCTAAAGTGTTTTGGGGGGTTTGAATGATCCTTTAAACAACAATGTATGCTATTAATATTGCATATATTGTATAACAAGAACTCACGTGTTTTGTATATATAATAGTACAACATATAGTACTGAATAAAGATATTAATACTTGTATTTTTAACCCTTTGAGTTGCTACTCTTAATGTGGGTAAATCCTTGGTGGGTTTCTAGAGAATTTATCATTTATATCCATGTGCCGTCGGCACTCGTTTTTCGTTCTCTACATAGCCCCTTTAGGTATCCTTTTCCTCTTTTAGACTTAATTGGGTTATGCCCATTTTACCCACTCAGTCCTACTTTTGACTTTAGGTCCAGGTTTGTCCTGCCCCTCAGGTCTTTCTTGTTATTATGTCTGTGTATCTGCATGTTTGTGTCTGTGTGTGTATCTGTATGTCAGTGTGCCTGTGTGTGTATCTGTATGCAAGAGTATGTGTCTGTGCATCAGTGTATGTGTCTATGCATCAGTGTGTCTGTGTGTGTATCTATATTTCAGGGTGTCAGTGTATGTGTCTGTACGTCAGTGTATGTGTCTGTGTATCTGTGTGTGTATCTGTATGTCAGTGTATGTGTCTGTGTGTCACTGTATGTCTCAGTGTGTGTGTCATGGTATGTGTCTGTGTGTGTCTGTGTGTGTCTGTGTCTGTGTGTGTGTGTGTGTGTGTGTGTATGTGTATCTCAGGGCTCGACAAATCTAATGTGCTATGGCGACTAGGAATTTTGTCCTGGTGCCTGGAATATGTTGGCCCAGAGCGGCAAAGGAGAATGCAGGAGGCCAGCCATGGGAGAGCAGAGGTGGCTGGCCAGCCATGCGAGAGCGGAGGCCATTCTTGAGGGAAGGCAGAGACGGACCTGTGGCTGCTGTGTGGAATAGACCCGGGGGCAGGGGAGTGAGCTGTTATCTCGTGTCATTCTGGCCCCCAGCATACTAAACTAAACAGTTTGCAACAGGGAGCAGAGCACGGAGATGACAGCAGCCCCACTGGACCCCAGGGAAAACCTATCCACTCAACCTCTCCAAAAGGTAGAATGGCTGGGTGGGTCTTAATCAAAATAATTTTAAAAATTCAACTTCTGAATGTGTGAGTGTGTACCTGTGTGTGTGTGTGTGTGTGTGTCTGTTTGTGTGTCTGTCTGTCTGAGATTTTGTATGTGTGTGTCTCTGCCAGCGAGTTTGTGTGTTTGTGTATGTCTGCGAACTTGTGAAAGTCTGTCTGTCTCATAGTGAGTGTCGGTTTACGTGACTGGTCCCCCTCTGATTACATGGGAAAGGTGATTTTACTACTGAATCTGCCTCCATGGCTGAGATAATCAATCTTGCTGATCTCAGCCAAGCAATGACTTTCCATAGGAAAACATTGGGAGGCTATTGTGCATGCACTAATCTGCATCTCCTCAAAGAGATGCATTGAATCAATGCATCACTATGGGGGACATTCAGCCCCTCCATGCCGAATGTGGTTTGAGTGATGACCACTAGAGGTGTTACTAAGCAGCAATGTAAACACTGTCTTTTTTCTGAAAAGGCAGTGTTTACATCAAAAAGCCTGAAGGGACAAGCTATAGACACCAGAACCACTATATTAAGCTGCAGTGGTTCTGGTGACCACAGTGTCCCTTTAAGAATTCTATTTTTGTCGCTGAAAATTAAGCTTTGTTAGTTAAAAGAAATACTGGCTCCTAACTTTTTTCCTAGATTAAAAGTGGGGGAGGGGGGTGAGGGGGGAACTGGATCAGTTTTGCACCAGGGCACCATGGATAGTGTGTTCGCCACTGAAGGAGATCGTGGGGCAAAGGAGAAGCATGGAGAGTATGGGGCAGAGGAGAAGCAAGGAGAGCATGGGTTGGGGGAGAAGCAGGGAGAACATGGGGAAGAGGAGAAACAGGGAGAGTCTGGGGTGGAAGAGAAGCAGGGAGATTCTGGGGCAGAGGAAAGGCAAGGAGGGTCTGGGGTGGAGGAGAAGCAAGGAGAGCATGGAGTGAAAGAGAATCATGGAGAGTATGGGGCAGAGGAGAAGCAAGGAGAGCATGGGGTGGAGGAGAATCATGGAGAGTATAGGGTGAAGGAGAAGCAAGGAGAAGTAGGCTGATCATGGGGCAGAGGAGAAGAAGGGGGAGCCTAGGGCAGATAAACATTTATTATTCTGAAATAAAGGTAACTATATTAATTCCAACATTTTGCTAATGTGTGGGGTACAATTTATGGAGATGGGCTGCCAAGGGGTACGCAAGTGAAAAAAGGTTGGGAACCACTGCTCTGTGGTATTAATTTGCAACATTGTGGTCAAATTAGTAATTTTATGATGTTGAATGAGAATGATTTAATTTATCAGGTGTCTATATGGCACTGTGTGAACCTGACTGGGTCCACTCCATGATATAAGAAACATTTGAAATGTTATGGTTTTGCAACTCCATTATTTCTTCTTAGCAGGTTTAAAATTTCATGGCCCCCATTCATAAATCATCAAGTTAATGTATAAAGAGTTTTGTTTCTCCTTATCACTTTTTTATTTGACTGATAGTAATGGAAGTTACATTATTTTTTTTTTTTATATATATAATCTTTATTTAAAGGGTTTCCCCCTTTTTTTTTTTCATAAAAAAAGACAATACAATACAGCAGTTACGTACAAATGGTAAAGAAACAATTTTCCTATTTAAGATATTCATCCATAAGATGTTTCTTTATACATTTCAATTAACCAAGAACAAACAATACTTTAGACTTACACATCTACATATACAAGACAGTGCAGCAAGAGAGAAGGGAAGAAACTCATCGAGTAAAAGTATATGTTTTGTCTCATATTATATATTATATTATACTGTCCAAAGCATTAACAGTCAGGCTCAGTGTTCACTTTAAATTTATGTAGGAGAGAAAAAAAAAAAAGACCCTCTATTTGTCAATCTTCTCCCAGCATTTCATCCAAATTGTTGTTTTTCTACTTAATTTTGTTTGCTCAATAACACTTCCATTTTTACTTGAAACTTAAGCTGGGCTCTGACTTGATCCCAAGGAACTTCTCTATCATTTTTCCATCTTCTAGCAATCACAATTTTTGCTGCTAAAAAGAGATGGATAAGAATAATTTTCGAATCATTTGTCATTGCCGGCCAGTTTAAATGGAGCAAGACAATCTCCGGAGAGAGCCTCAACTCAAGGTTCAAGTCTACGGACACAAACTTTTGAATATTAAACCACAAATTGTTCAATTTACTGCACTCCCACCAAATATGCTTAAAAGTGCCTGTATTTATGCCACATCTCCAGCATAGATGGTTTGCTGAAGAGTACATTTTGTTCAATTTGTCTGGTACTAAGTACCATTTATTTAGGACTTTAAAATGAGTTTCTAATAAATTTAGCGAGTGTATGTACTTCGAAACTTCTGTCAATGAGAAACCCCAATGCCTGATATTTATATCCATATTTAATTCTTCTTTCCAGGCAGTTATAGCTGTTGGAGTTTTTACTTTATTGCACATTTTGCTTAATACCAAAGCTTTTGAGAGTGGTTTATTTATCTTATCTGTATTGAAAAGTATATTTAACACATTATTCAAATTAGTGTTTGATGCGATTAGATGTGACGTCAAAAAACTTTTAAGTCTTAAATAATTAAACAGCTCTTTTGATGGTAAGTTATATTCCTGTGTTAATTGAGCAAAAGTTTTAATTTTATCTTTTACAAGTAGTTGAGACAGTCGCAAAATTCCTGCTTGATTCCAGTTTTTTAGATTTATATCTGCAACTTGTTGTTCTACAAGATCTAATTTTGAATATGTTGGAATTTTGTTTTCTATTTTTAGGGTCTTTTTAATTTTAAGCCAACTATTCATTAAATGTGTTAACGTTATGTTGGGATAATCTTTTTTTTTTAAAGAACTTGGTGGTATTCCAAATTAAACAATCCAAGCTGGGAACTCCTCCTGCAATAATGTAATGGAAGTTACATTATGCCACAATAATAATTTATAGAATCTGATAAAACAACCTCTTTAGGCAGAGAATACCACATCGTTCTTGTTCTAACTGTAAAGAACTTTTTCCTCTGCTTTAGGCAAAAACTGTTTTCTTCTAATTATAGTTCATTACCTGTCCACAGTGATTGGGTGGACCTTTGAACTTAGGGTATACTTAGGGTATACTGTTAAATCCCACATTGATATCAAGTGGTCCCTTAAAAACAGTACTGTGACAGTGTTGCTTTCTTATTCATGCAATAACATTATACTTAAAATGACTTCTAACATTCTGAGATCATCTTGTTAAAGTTGATATGTTTAAAGTAAACAGCAGACCTATCGAACCTCTATTCCTTATGTGGTGCGATAGTGAATTTGTAAAAAACATAAAATCTAACAATCCGATGAATAACACAATGATCTATATAGTAAAATATTTAAAGAAAAAATATGGTACTAAGTATATATCAAGAATTGCCCCATTAACATGCTTAAAACTTTATATAAAAGACATAAATATACAAGAATGGGAAAAGTGTGGAATTGCAAAATTAGCAGAACTATTAGATGATAATAAAATATTGTCATTTCCAGTGTTACAGCTTCAATATAACCTTCCTTCCGAAGAAATATTTAATTATTTAAGAATAAAATCTTTTATCATAGGAAAAACTTTTTCGGAAATCTCTCAAATTGACCAGTTTATAGCATCCCATTATAGGAAAAAAATGCCTCCAGATTTAACCAATTTATAAGAAGCCAAAGGCAAATAGATAAAGTGTCAGCAATGAATAAATGGGAGCAAGAACTCAATTTTTCTTCCCCGGTTGAAGATTGGCTTTTGGGCCTACAATTAGTAAAAAGACATATCCGTGGGGTAAATATAAGGTAAGTGTATTTTAAACTTGTGTACCGATGGTATCTGGTGCCCACTCGCCTTCATAGATTTCAACCCACACTTCTACCAGACTGTTGGAGATGTGGCAGGGAATTAGGCTCATTTTCTCACATATGGTGGGACTGTGATGAGTTGAAACCTATGAAAGTAACTTTATCGGATTTGGTAAATTTCATTCTGAAGGCACAAACTGTTATTACGGCTCAAATGTTCCTGTTTCACTTAAACATGCCAAGGGTCAATATAAAACTAAAAATTCTTATGATCCATTTCTTTATGGCAATCAAACTAATTATAGCTAGAAACTGGAGAAATATGGGCCCGTTAGTTTGGCAAGATATTTGTGTACAAGTGGATTATCAATGTAGGATGGAAGCAGGTATAGCAATAAATAAAGTATCCAAGGAGAAATATGAGGAGATTTGGGCCCCTTGGAATAGATATCTTAGTCTTAAAACCAAAACCCCCCTCCCTCCAATGACAACCTTTCATAGGTAATGTAGCAGCTTTATGTGGAAGTGTAAGAAAGAGGTCAATGTATGTAATGTACTGATTTGATTGTAGTCAGTGTATAAATGTATTATTTATGGTTTTATTAACTATGTGTACGATACTTATTTATTGTAATATCTCAAAACCTATTTTTCTATGAAAGTGTGTATATGGATGAAATTTTAAATTGAAAAATAAAAATTTTTTATACAAATAAAAAAAAATAAAAAAATAAAGTAAACAGCAGACCTATGCTAATTTTCTTCTCAATGGTAGAGTCAGTTGTCTACAATACAGATAATTTCTTTAGACAGTCAAATCTGGAATATGCATGCTGACCCTTTTTAAATGGAATAAAGTAACAATTATAGATTAATTATTTTAAAAGACAATAACATGCATCTACTCTAAAAATCACAAAAATACACTAATTTTGTTAGAGAACATGCAGTAACGTAAAAGTCTATATGTTTACTAAAATTACTAAATATGAGTTACAAAATAAACAAAAAAGGAATGTTAATTATAGCAAACAGTGGTAGCTTATGCCTTTTATTATATCTGTTTACCTTTTACGTTGGTGTTTTAACAATTAAAAGATTGTTGAAGGGAAATATATGGTCCCCATGGCAATTTATATATGAAATGGTTTTCTTGTTTAGAGACATAGAAATCGGTAATTAATGAACATACTTAATGCTCTGTAAAATGAATATACTAATTATTTCTATGTCATAGAAATCCATGAGCACACCAATTCAAGCATTTCAACAAGGCTAAGACAGTAAAAAAAATCTAATTAATTTGTAAACGAATACTTTTGAACAAATTGATGTTAAAACTTTAAACACAATCAAAACTTGACTTAATTGAAACGTCGATGGTGCATCCTGCAGCCAATCTCAGCCATGGCTTAGAAAGGTAGTGATATATAAACATCATGCAGATCTAAAAAAAGTCAATCGGAGATGTCAATCACACAACCTAGAACAGCAGAATAGCCAAACTGCAATTAGAAAAATGTCATCTATTGACTAAACTATTGGCGCAAGGATGCCACACCGAAATGAAGCCTCTTATGCATGTTTTATTGTAAAACGCAGTTGTTAATACCAACTGCTGATATATATTTGTTGCTACAAAATGTTGACGATTTTCTGTTGTCTATCCCTGACTTTAAGGGTAGACTGTAGCATTAGAAATACATATCTGTCTTCCTAACATTACAGCCCTGTGGCCCCTTGTCAGCTAGGTCACTCCCAACTATTTAAATAAATTAATACATACTTTTTAGAAAAAAATACTAATTTTTTCTCCAGCACTGAGTCTACCTTGGTGCTCCTGTGACCTCTTACTCAGATTATGTCATCCTGGAGGCCTGTCACCAGGATGACAGGCCAATCAAATGCTCCCCTTATAGGAGCATTGAAGAATGTAGGTGCATGCATGGTGCTTGCCATAATGTACCTACAATTCCTACATAGAGAATCATTGTACTCAATGATACTCTATGGCGACCGTGACAGTACTACGTGTGCGTGAGTGATGTCACAGTATGATACGGTTTGAGAGTAGGGAATTAAGATTCCCGGCAGGCATACTCAGAGAGCTTGGAGGGGTGACCTAAAGCCATGCTTCCATGCCTTATAATTAGTTTAATATTAGAATTTGGGAGTTGGGACAGGTTGGCTAGCACTGAAGGCACTATAACAACTTCAATAAGATTAAGTTGTTAAAGTGCCTACAGTGCTCCTTTTATGTCTGCAAGCTACTCACATCTGCCTCCACTGACAAAGAGCACTTCTTAGCAATTACAGATGTGTAAATTGGACAATAATTAATGTTTCACAATTATTTGCCATATCAGCACAACTTAATAAAAGGTTTGCTCAGTGAATGCACATCTCACCTGTGTTTATATGAGCAATTATTGAAATAGGTGTTTATCTGACCAAAACTTACAAAGTTTAAGCACTGATCTTGAAAAATAAAATTCCAACAAAGTTCTTGTTTAGCGTGACTATTTGAATCCAAATTCTAAAGTTTGATTTAAATTCACTACAATCTGCTGTTCACAAAATAAAGTACTTAATGGAACATTCCAGACTCCTAACCAACTTTAGTTTGCTTCGTGTGTGAAAAGTGTGTCCAGTGTTTCCATTTTGGAAAAAGTTCACGTTTTAATAGAAATGTACATTTTGATAAATTATACATTATACTGGTTTGGTTAGCTTATTTGCACTGAACTCCAGATGTAGCAATTACCAAGAGCACCTGCCTAAAAAGACATTGAGCTATGTTGCTAGGTCTGTAATAGAATTTTACTAACTGCCAGTAATCTATTATCTAATTATCTTAATTTTTGTATCTGTGTTGACAATGTTGAAACTTTAAATCTGTTAATACTGTACTTTGAATGTATTTATGAAATAGAAACTATTGAAGATCCTTAAAAACTCACTTCTTTAGGAAAGCATAACAGCTTTCCCTCCCTGCTCCTTGGTAGCCCACCTTGCTTCCTTTTCCTGCAACTGTATCACCAAAAAAACGAACCATTCACTGTAAACTGTTATAGTAACCAACTTTTTTCACAGACATGAAATACATCTTACCCTTACCTCTTGTCTCACTTTACCCCAATCCCTCGTAAGTTCATTTGAGCCAGGCCCTCAACAACATTTGTTCCTGTGTGTCAGCATGTCTTGTTGCAATCACAAATCTGTTAATGCACCTATTGTACAGCACTATGGAATATGTTGCTGCTTTAATATTAAAATAATAAAATTAAAATAAATACTTACTTTTGCAGGTACTGAAACTGTAGCACTTGCCACAAATTGGTATATGTATTTATTTATATCCCACATATCCTACAAAACCCACACTAGCAGGAATTCCAGGGATATGTATACATTGTTTTTTATAATGTTATGTCATTAGGTACTGAACATTAGGTTTTTTTGACCCCGGACCCGAACACGGACATATCACTGTATGTTGGGGGTTGGAGTTTGGAGTTCGTCGATTTAATGACGTGTTTTGAAAGGCCGCAGGGCAGCCAATCAACAAGCGTTTGACTCGTGTGCCCTTAGAAGCCATCACAGCCATGCCTACTAATAGCATGGCTGTGATTGGCCAGTGCAGCAAGTGACCGCGAGTAGGGGCGTGTCTATTAAACAGTGAGCAGCCTATCGCTTTAAAAAAAAAAAAAAAACATTCCCCTCTCCTGAGCCCCCACCCGCGACGCGCAAGTGGGGGCTTTTAACTCCAACACGTCTTAATAACATTTCTACAATTAACTCAGATAGATGTTCACATATGGTGGGAATGCACTGAATTAGCAAATATTAAGTGTAAAATTAAATGACCACTATAGTGCCAGGAAAACATACTCATTTTCCTGGCACTGTAGTGCCCTGAGGGTGCCCCCACTCTCAGGGTCCCCCTCCCGCCCGGCTCTGGGGAGAGGAAAGGGGTAAAAACTTACCTTTCTCCAGCGCTGGACGGGGAGCTCTCCTCCTCCGATCCTCCTCCGTTCCTCCCATTCGGCTGAATGCGCACGCGCGGCAAGAGCTGCGCGCATTCAGCCAGTCGCATAGGAAAGCATTTATAATGCTTTGCTATGGACGCTTGCGTGCTCTCACTGTGATTTTCACAGGAGGAATTGGAGGAAGGATTAACCCATTTGTAAACATAGCAGTTTCTCTGAAACTGCTATGTTTATAAAAAAAATGGGTTAATCCAACTGGACCTGGCACTCAGACCACTTCATTAAGCTGAAGTGGTCTGGGTGCCTAGAGTGGTCCTTTAAATCAATTGTACAAAAAATACTTGATAACAACAAGTTTACCCCACATATGTTTATATGGAATATAGATTTCCCACAATGTAACAAGGAACAAGAATATTTAGTAACACATATTCTATTTGCAACTAAAATAGTATTAGCACACAAATGGAAAACGACAAACTTAAACTGGTCAGAAATAAGAGATCACATTTCTAGTGATGTCACGAATGTTCGCGAAAGGGCGAACCAGGCGAACCGCCATAGACTTCAATAGGCAGGTGAATTTTAAAACCCACAGGGACTCTTTCTGGCCACAATAGTGATGGAAAAGCTGTTTCAAGCGGACTAACACCTGGACTGTGGCATGCCGGAGGGGGATCCATGGCAAAACTCCCATGGAAAATTACATAGTTGATGCAAAGTCTGGCTTTAATCCATAAAGGGCATAAATCACCTAACATTCCTAAATTGTTTGGAATAAAGTGCTTTAAAACATCAGGTATGATGTTGTATCGCAAACAACCGCAAACAACCGCAAACAGTCCATTTGCACAACCGCAAACTCCCCATTTGCACAAGGTTGGATACCAAGCTAGCCATTTCCCGTTCCTTGTCCTCACTGATGTCATTGAAGGTCTCTTCCTCCACCCAGCCACGTACAACACCAAGGGTCCCCAAAAGGTGACAACAAGCCCCCTTGGACGCCTGCTGTGTTTGGTCTTCCACCACCTCAAAGCTACCTTCCTCCTCTGACTCCTCTTCTTCAGACTCCTCTCTCTGCATTGCCTCTCTCTGCATTATTATAAGGTGTGTTAAGTAGTACTATTCAGTTTAATCCCTGTTACGTCCCCTATCAGGGGACGTGTATATGGTATCGATTTTAGGAACCGGGAGATGGAAAAAGATGCTTGGTCGGTCCTCCTACTTCAAATTTGGGGCACGGCGCATGCAATCTAATGTGCCACCAGATAGGAGGGGTGTGTTAAGTAGTACTATTCTTATCAGTTTAATCCCAATGTCACGACTACTGGTGTGGTCCAGCACGCAGAAACTATGTAAACATATACATAGGCAAGAAAAGGA